CTGTTGCCCAGACTTCAGGATTAATTCCTTCCTCAAGTAGGGGACAACAAAGGGGTGTTCCCTCTCCTATGTTCAGGTGTATAATGGCCCCTGCTTTTGCTAGAATGTCTCTCCCTAACAAAGGAGTGGGGCTTTCAGGCATAATTAGAAAGGCATGTGAAAAGAGTAAAGTTCCCCAGTCACAACTCAGTGGCTGAGACAAGTAGCTAGTGACTGCCTGTCCTAGGACCTCTTGGATACTGACAGATCTGAAGGACAGTTGTCCGGGACAGGAAAGTAAGACTAAGAAGGCTTCACCAGTGTCCAGCAGACAGTTAACCTCCTGGCCCTCAATGGTCAAGCATACCCGGGGCTCTGTGAGAGAGATGGCATGGGCTGGCGCTTGCCCCGGGCACCCTCAGTCCTGCTGCTGGATCACCTGGTTAGTGGCTTCTGACTCAGAGGAGCTTTGTCCCCTGGGGCAGTGGGCCTTCCCAGTGATAACCTTGACATAAGGGGCATGGACGAGGGTGTGGCTTATTTCTATTCGGACAACCTTTTTTAAAGTGTCCTTGTAGACGGCACTGGAAGTAAGCCCTATTATGCATTCTATTTGCCCAGCTTTTCCCTTTTCCAGAACCTCCAAAGTCTGCTTGCCTGAGGGCCATGACTAAAGCGGTGGCCTTCTTTTTATCCCGTTTGTCCCGTTCCGCCTGCTCCTCCTGATCTCTCTTATAAAAAACCGAGGTTGCCAAGTACAGTAGGGTTTCTAAGTTTTGCTCCGGGCCTAAGGTGGACTTTTGAAGTTTGTTCCTAATGTCTGCAGCTGACTGAGTGATAAACTCATTCTTTAAGATTTGTTGGCCTTCAACAGAGTCAGGTGACAGGGAGGTGTGCTTCCTCAATGCCTCCCTTAGTCCCTCCAGAAAGGCAGTAGGATTTTCTTCCTTTCCCTGTGTTATAGTGGACGTCATTGAATAATTTATAGACTTCTTCCTAGTTTTACTTAGTCCTTCTAGCCTGCAAGTTAGCAAATGTCTGCGGCACCAATCTTCATGTTCTGATTCTGCATCCCAGTGAGGGTCTACACTGGGAACTGCCTGCTGGCCTGTGGGGAATGGTTCTCATTCCTCTGTTGTCATCCTATCGTTGACCTGACTGAGATACCAGAGATTGCCAAACTCTCAGGCTGCAGTTATGGTGGCACTTCTCTCATTTGGGGTTAGTGTCTGATCCAGCAGTAACATTATACCTCTCCAGAATACATCTTAGGGGCGTTTTTGCCTTGGGGAGAAACGTTTCCCATCTGAGAAAAGAACACAGGGATGCCAGCACCCGTAGTCATTTTCCAGTGAGCATTAGTCCTAGAGCATCCTCTATGGGCCTAATGCTTATTCCTTTCCAGGATGCGGAACCCCCCGTGGACTTCTGCTTATCGGATTAGTTACTCTCACCCATGTAGCAGTCCTGCACCTGTTTTCAAACCTTTCTTGAACACAAAGAAAGGGGTCCAGGTTGCCGGATTCTAGTGGTCCTTTACCAGCGTGCCCAACACTGGCTTTGCGCTCAGTGGTGAGTTCTAGCGCTGGGCTGGACAACCCAGTTCCCCATCAAGATGCATTCCCATAAACAACAGGTCTTATATAAATTCATTTCAGAGAGGGTGTAGGTAACCTTTTGAGTCAGGATTAAGATAGTTTTTGCCCACTAAGGCCTTTGTCCTTCTTTTCCTTTGTAGGAATATGCCCTAATTATCAATCTTAAACTTTTGGTTGCCCTGAATTAAGTCCTTTTGGGTATGAAATATGAGAGATGGATCCTGTTTATCCTATGTGCCTTTTTCCTACAAGAAGGAGAGTGAGCAGAAAAAGATGGGCTTGCTGGTCTTGTAAGTACTTTAAGGTGTGGCTGAGTGCAAACGGTTCGAATGTTTGAGCAGACCAGTTATTAGGCAGTTTTCCTAACTCTGCTTCTACAAGAGTTTCCTTATCAATTACTGAATACCCATTATGTTTTTTTCTCTCAATCGCCCAAGAGTTTCCTTATCAATTACTGAATACCTGTTATGGTTTTTTCCCTCAATCGCCCGGGAGGAACCATCTATCCTCCTATCCTGAAGGGAGTACCTCCTAGGTCTGGTCAGACCTTTGTATGGTAATTAAAATTTAAATCCCCTGTTAGGAAATCTGCTGGGTTAAGGAAATTTTCCGTGGTTAATGTTAATTCATCTTTTTTAAAAAAGAATAGCCCCATACTTTAAGATTTTTAAGTTAGTAAGTTACCTTATTTCTTTATTTTTTGGACTTAGGATAGTTATGAACTGGTGACGGGTGCTCACAATGAGGTTTCCTCTAAAAGTTGTTTTTCTGCTTCTTTCTGTTAGCAAAGCAGTTGCCGCTACAGATTGAATGCATTTGGGTCATCCCTTTACATTTACTCAATTCACTTTCATGTTGTTGCAGTTCCAGTTGTTAAAGTACTGGGTCATCAGTTCTAAGGCCCTGGTCAAGGAGCCAAGGCTTGGAGATTGTATTGCACGGGGTGGGTAAGCTGGGTAGAAATTGGGGGAGGAGAGCATCTTACACAATAGCAGAGCAATTCTCCTAGCCATTTACAAACTTGAGGCCCTAGCAAGGGTGGTGGGGAACGGGTCCCACGTAACTGCCCATGTTGAGAGCTGTATACCTAAATTGGGAGGGAAACCAGGGGCAAGACTCCCTGGGTTCATAGCCTTGGTGCCTAAGGATGCAGTGTAGAGCTTCCTTAGATCCCCTTTGGAGATACAACTTGCTCTAATACTTGGGAGAGGAAGTGAAAGTCTGCAGCATTAGTATCTAGGAGTTACTTCACGCCTTCACAGCCTTCTCTCTAATTATGGTTGGAGCATCCCAGCCCTGATCAAAGGCCAGACTCCTCTTATCCATTCCATCTCCCCTCACCTACTTCATTGGCTACTCCTCATCACCTGTGCTATCTCTGCCTTCTGTGCTAACGTTTAAAGATAGGAGTCCCCCAAGGCTCAGTCCTTGGATCTCTATTCTTTATTTATTCTTTCGTAGGCAATCCCATCCATTCGCGTGACTTTAAGAACCATGTGTAAACCAATGTCTCAAATTTCTCTCTCCTTGGAGCTCTAGATTTGTGTATCTTACTGCCTACAGCTCCGCTTGGATATCTAACAGTCACTTCAAACCTCTCATGTTCCCCCCATGCTCTTGCTCTTCCACCAGTCTTCCCTATCTCCAGCTACCCAATTGATTAAGATAAAAACCTAGGTTTCCCTGATTTCTCACTTCCCCTCATCACTCCTGCTACATCTGTACCCAATCCAACAGAAAATGTCACCAACTCTACCTCCAAAACCTCCCATTTTATTCACTTCTCTCCTGCATGACTTCTAATCTGAGGCACCATCACTTTTCTCTTGGATTCCTCAAACAGTCTGGCTTCCACTCTTGTCCCATGAACCCATTCTTCTAACTGACTTTAGAAAATATAAATCCAACCATGTCATTTCCTTCCAAAGCTTTCATTGCCCTTGGAATAAATTCCAGTTTCATTTCTAGGACCTTCATTTTGTCACCCTCCACTTTCTTCTTATGTTTCAGCCACAGGGATATCCTTTCTACTTATAGAGCAAACTAAATGATTTCTTTAAGACCTTTTAATTTGCATTGGGTGCTTTTTATCTTCTGCTTGAAATGCTCTCTTTTGGTTATTAAGGTCTCAGTTTGAATGTCACTTCCCCGGAGAAGCCTTCCCCAACCCTGAAAACCCAGGTAGCCCTTCTGAGTCGCTCTGCCGTATCACCACATTCAATTTCCTGCACATAACACTTTTCAAAATTCTCTTTCATGTATATTTGTTTACTTGTTTATTGCATGTCTCCCTCCCCTGGAGTATAAGCTAGCTGAGAGCTAGAATTTTGTTTGTCTTATTCACCGCTGTATTCTCAGACCCCAGAGTACCTGATACATGGTAAAAGTTTGTTAAAATGAATGAATGGATGGATGGATGAGACTCAGAGAGGGTGAGTAAATTGTCCAAGGTCACAGAGCTAACAAGTCGTCAAGCCATGATCTGAATGCAAAATTTGGAGCTTTGTGTGTCTCCAAAGCCCACGTTTCCAGGACACTTGCCTCTACTGTCACAAAAAGCCATGTGGTCAGGACTTGAATTTATAAAACATTTTTACACGCATTACCTAATTTGCTCCACACTGTAACCTGGTATGATATAATCGTAGCTTTGCTTTTTCCAGATGTGGAAACTAAGTCTCAGAAAGGTTTAGTAATTAATCCAAGATCCCTCTCAGAGCAATAGAAGGGCAGGTGAATAGCAAAGCAGAAATTAACTTCCCAGGAATTATGTATGGGTATGTGGCACTCAAACATGCCATCTCTGAAGCTCACACTCTCATGCTGATAATCAAGGGTATTTTATACATGAGAATGGCTCATCAGGGCCATTCATGAGGAATCTAAGAGGGGAGCTGGAAGCACATTAAGTGTACTGAGGCTAGGCCAGGTGCGGTGGCTCACATCTCTAATCCCAGCACTTTGGGAGGCCGAGGCAGGCAGGAGTTCATGACCAGCCTGGCAAACATGATGAGACTCCATCTGTACAAAAAAAAAAAAGTGTGCTGGTGTTCACCTGTAGTCCCAGCCACTTGGGAGGCTGAACTGGGAGGATCACTTGAGCCCAGGAGGTTGAGGCTACAGTGGGCTGAGATTATACCACTGCACTCCAGCCTGGGTGACAGAGTGAGATCCTGTCTCAAAAAAAAAAAAAAAAAAAAAAAAAGGATTGAGGCTACACAAAACTCTGCTCCTGAAGAAAGGAGAGGTGTGGGGGTCCTATGGCAACTACTGTGGGTTTGCACAAAGATCCCCAAATCATAAAACAAAGTGGTTTGGGGATCTTGAAAGGTTACAGGGTTGGACTTCACTGTCTCATAGGAGACAAGGCATTTTAGAATAAACTGGGCATGTCCTAAGGTAAGGATCTGTGTCCTTCCACAGGTCTAGCTTTCTTGCCTGCCAGCGTGTCCTACCTCATTGGCACCAACCTTTTTGGTGTGTTGGCCAACAAGATGGGTCGGTATGTAGCCTGGGGATCTGGGACAAACAATAGAAATGTGAGATGGGAGAGCGCCTGTCCCTGATCTTGGAATGATGAACAGCTTCCCCACAGTTGAAAGTTTAGGACAAGTACACACTGATAAAAACTTCCCACCGGGAGGGTGGTGAGGGTGGTATGGAGAATGGATAGTCCTGAGCTCTAAGCTGATTGGTATGGAAGAGGCAGTGGATACATGAGGGGCACCCCTTACTTTCCGTCCATTTGCTGTCCAGTTGAAGAGATAAAATAACCACATCGGAGAACAGCTATTAAAAACGTAGTACTTTGGGAAAGTGGTTTTCAAATTATGTTCCATGGAACCCTATGGAGTTCTACAGAGGCACCCCAGAGGCCACTGAGGAGGAAAGGTTGGGGGCCAAGAGGTATAAGTCTAGATTCTGTCCCTCCACCACAATAAGGACAGCTTTAATTTTATCTTTGGAGTTCAGCACCAAGCTTTTAGAAGCACTGCCATAGGACATCAAAGAAGGAAAGAAGTTTGGTACTTTCTGTGGTTTTTGAGACGGACCTCAAGGACCAAATAAAATATGGACAGGTAGGAGGCAGTCTGAGCTGGGCAACAGCAAGAGTTAAGTTTGAGGGCTCTTTCGAAGGACCAAGTGCCTTCTGAGTCAGCTGATTCCTCCTGTAAGGGAAGGAAGACTGTGTCCCATGGCACCTCCTCTGCCTAAAGAAAAAGGTGTGGAGCCAGGGGGGACAAGGAAAGGGCAGGGAGAGAGCTCACTTGGGTACAAACTGGTCATATGGGGTGCCGTCCTCAGGTCCTAAGGGGTTGCTGGGATTAGGGCTGGTGGAACAGGTCAGCATGGGGGTGATGGGGTACAGGTGGAGGGAGCTCTCCCTTATCGGTGTTTGATGATGGCCCTTTTCTTCCAGGTGGCTGTGTTCCCTAATCGGGATGCTAGCAGTAGGTACCAGCTTGCTCTGTGTAAGTATAAGAAGACCTGGGAGAGGGGAAGGAGAGAGAGAGAGAGAGAGAGAGAGACCGACCCAGACATTTAAAGACGACTTTCCTTTAAAATGAGCAGAGTTGGCTTGGCAAGGACTGTCAGAAAGAGTGTTTCTGAGTAGGCAGGAATTTAGCACTGGGGAGATGCCACCAGCTGCAGTGGCCTTCCATTGAGAGGAAGTGGGAAAGGAGAGGGAGAGGGCTGTAGGGCAGCTGGAGCCAGAGGTCTGAGGCTGTATGTGTGGGCACATGAAGTGATACATGTTGGTGTCCATTTCTGGGAATGGCAAAAGGGTGCATTTTGTGACTTCATTTACTCATCCCACCCTGAGAGATCCTCATAAGTCCCCAGGGAACCATCACCTATGCTCCAGTCTCTGGCGCCAGAGGCTTGATAGAAGAAGAAAGAAAGAAGGACTTTTCCATTTCCAAGAGTGCCCCTCAAGCTCTCAAAGCCTTCATTTCCTCCTCTCCACAGTGAAGATGAGAAACACACAAATATCCTAGGCTTGAGGGAGAGAAGAACAGGGCTACAAGGCACTGTACACTGTGCTCAAGACCAGCTGGAGGTCCTGAGCAGGAGCATGGGATCCGGGTTCCATGGCAGGTTTGCCACTTTCTATGCGTGTGACTTTGAGCAGGTTGCCTCATCTCTGTGTGCTCAGCATCCTCATCCGTGTAGAGAGGGTTCTGATAGTGTCCACAGCGTTGTCGAGGTAATCCACATAAACCACAGTGTCGGGCATGTGGTGAGTCCATAGTGAATCTCAGCCAATACTATTGATAAATTATAAACATTTCTTGAGGCATGAACCTGAAAAATTGTTATCAGCCAGTAACATCTAAATAGTATGCTAAACCCTTGAGGGGTGAGTGTCCTGGGGTAGCAGGTTTGAATGACAGGTGCCCAGAAAGGGAGGGGAGGAACCTGCAAAAGAGGGAAGAAAGGGTTTTTGTTGGGGGATTGGGAGGGCAACAGGAATGAGTCTCACAAGCTTTCTGACACGGCACTCAAGCCACACCACCTGCCCTTTCTAGCTTACGGCTAACTGGCTTTTGGGGTCTCTTCTCCGTCTTCTTTCTCCAACAGTTACCAAGTTAGAAGTCTAAATAAAACATTTCGGTGATGTCCATAATGGAAAACAGAGGCAACTTTATTTCATGAAGAATGAGGCCAGGAGTGTATGTTTAGGTGGAGGGGGTAGAGGAAGGGGGTAGAGGAAGGGGAGAAGGTATCCATGCAACAGAGGAAGACCCTCATTACAGCATAATGGAGTCAAGTCTGAGGTCCAAACTTGATCTTGCCATTCATTAGATCTGTAACTTTGGATAGAGCAATAAACACAATGGCGCTGGTCAAGTTTTCACATCCTTAAAATGGAGGTATGGATTCTTTTCAGTGAGGAAGTATGAGAGTGCAGGAGGATGATGTATGTGACCAATAGTGCACTCTGAATAAATGCATTTCATGTGAAAACTCTTTGAACCTTGCTCCCACCTGACCCCTCTGGAGTCCTGATGACTCTTCCTCCTTCCTCTTGCAGGTTCCTCTGGCTCACAATATTTTTGGTCTCATTGGCCCCAATGCAGGGCTTGGCCTTGCCATAGGTAAGAAGTACCCTCGAAGAAAACGAGAAGCCCCTGAATGTTGGCTTTGGGTCTGTTGCCTTTCCTCCCCCTTTTCTCATCAGAGGAGGTAGGTGGAGAGGCAGAAGGAGGAGGAGGGCAGCTGGCAGGGGTGTGGAGAGATGAGCTCGTAATTCCCACCTGGAACAGGTGTGGGTCCGAGGGAGAAGACAACAAGCAAAGCGAGTGGATTAAATGGAGGAGCAGAGGAGGGATGGTACTGACTATGGGTGGTGCTGACTGTGTCCTGTTTGCTCTGGCCACAGGCATGGTGGATTCCTCTATGATGCCCATCATGGGGCACCTGGTGGATCTACGCCACACCTCGGTGTATGGGAGTGTCTATGCCATCGCCGATGTGGCTTTTTGCATGGGCTTTGCTATAGGTATGTTGGCAGGACCTGGTGTCTCACTTTCCCCTATCTACTGTTTTCCAGCTGGAAGTGCAGCCAGGAAGCTATCCTCCTAGGGTTCTGGAGATCTGTGATCCTGAGACATCCTCTGGGTCACCCACTGACCCTAGCATAGCATCTTACGTGGAGGACGCTCCATATGGAGGCTCCATAGACAGTTGTGACTTTCATATATCCCTCCCAGGTCCATCCACCGGGGGTGCCATTGTACAGGCCATCGGTTTCCCCTGGCTCATGGTCATCATTGGGGTCGTCAACATCGTCTATGCTCCACTCTGCTACTACCTGCGGAGTCCCCCAGCCAAGGAGGAGAAGCTTGTAAGGAGCGCCGACTGCTTTAAAAAAAAAAAATTCACTTCTGTTTCTTTCCATCATCTCTCTCATTCCCTTTCATCCTGGGCTGTTATTTCCTCCCTCTGTTGCTCTATTAATATTCTCTCTGCTTTGCCATGTTTCCCAATCTCCTTTCATCTTCATATTTCTTTTGTGCACTTCCTTAATTTCCCTTCTCTAAGTCACCACTTCCTCTCTTTCTGGGGCTATCAGGAAGGGTCTGCAGTAGAGAAGGGAAATGGGGGCAGAAGACCATTAAAGACATCCTGTAGTTACTGTTCCAAACTTGCTAGTTACTAGCAAGATGTGAATTACCAAGTTATCTCCCTCATAAGTGGGCAGAATTCCATTGGCACATCCATTCATCCTCTCACTCACTCTATCCTTATCAGGTCTTTTTTTTTTTGAGATGGAGTTTCACTCTTGTTGCCCAGGCTGGAGTGTAATGGCGTGATCTCGGCTCACCACAAGCGCCGCCTCCCAGGTTCCAGCAATTCTCCTGCCTCGGCCTCCCAAGTAGCTGGGATTACAGGCATGCACCACCATGTCTGGCTGATTTTTTGTATTTTTAGTAGAGATGGAGTTTCTCCATGTTGGTCAGCAGGTCACCTTTTTAAAAGTACAAAAATCCCAGGGAAGAGATCCATACCATAGGATTTTCTTTAATAAAGCACTTCCCTCTTACTGCAGCACAGACATCCTGAGGGCCTGATGGGTCTGGGATGGCGACAGAGGCTGCTCAAGGGAACAAAAGAAGACAGGAAGGTGTGATAGGGAATGATGTTGATTCCATTTGTCTTCCTGCTGTAACTTCCACTACCACCATTAGATTCAGTTAAAAGCATATGAGATATTTGTCCTGACAAGGGTTGATATACTGGGTACCTCAGGAGGCTGGTGCATGCACAGGCAGGGGATCCTATGCATGTTTCTTGAGTACTTAGCAATGCCAGACTTGGATGAACTAGTGGGAGAACAGAATGGGGAGACTGGTGGGGAAAAAACAAAACAAAAACAAAAACACCATGTGCAGTGGCTTCTCTTCTTGCCTCTCTCTGCAGGCTATTCTGAGTCAGGACTGCCCCATGGAGACCCGAATGTACGCAACCCAGAAGCCCACGAAGGAATTTCCCCTGGGGGAGGACAGTGATGACGAGCCTGACCATGAGGAGTAGCTGCAGAAAGTGCTCCCTGAATTCATGACGCCTCAGTGACCACCTCTTTCCCTGGAACCAGATCACCATGGCTGAGCGCACAGCTCAGCGGGCTTCACATACCTCTTCCTGGGAATCTTCTTTCCTCCCCTCCCATGGACACTGTCCCTGATACTCTTCTCACCTGTGTAACCCGTAGCTCTCCCTCTACGCCTTGGTGCTGCAGTGGCCCAACTTTTATGGCAAGACAGAGTGATGCACCTTCCCCCTGCTGTGAGGTTGATTAAACTTGAGCTGCGACGGGTTCTGCAAGGGGTGACTCATTGTGTGGAGATAGTAGTGAGCAATGTGCCCCTGAAACCAGTGGAGCGACTGACAAGCCTCGTTTATCTGTTGCCTGATTTTCTCTGGCGTAGTCCCAACAGATTGGAAGAGTGTTACCCTCTGTTCCTCAACATGTTCCTTCCTGGGGTATCCCAGCTGAGTTGAGAAAATGTTCTCAGCATTGTCCTGCTGCCAAGTGCCAGCTTGAAGAGGTTTTTTTTTTTGCATTTTTCTTTAATAAAGTGAGCGATTTTTCTGTGGCTAAATCTACAGCTGCTAAAAGGGCTTTACCCTCAGTGAAAAGCATCTTCTATTTTCATTATCATTGGGAAAGAGGAGGAGTCCATTTCTCTTCTGTTGGAGTTATCGACATTCTCCTGACCTCCCTGTGTGTTCCTGCCTTTTCTGAACTTCTTAGACTCTTAGAAACAAAAGTAAAAATAATTGATTAGACCCATGATTTCATGGGAAGAAGTGAAAAGAAACTGCCTTGAAATCCCTCCCAGTTGTAGATTTCCTAATAGGAGGAGTGTAATGAGACATTGTTCATACTTGCTAATAAATACATTATTGCCTAATTCAGACCTGATAAACTAGATGTCGTTTTATAGCACGAGAGTATTGGGCAAATAGAGCAAATACTATAAATATTATCATACTTTGCTACCTTTTTGAAACACTGATTGGGTGATGGGATTTCAAAGAGGTGGGAGACGTGGCACCCACCTAAGCAGCTCCCCAACTATTTGGACAAACAGGGTATGACAGTATAAAAAATGATTAATGCTGCAAGTTAGTATACATTCTGTGTTCAAGTACAACGAGGTGGGATGTTCACAGGCTGGGTGGGAAATCATGGCAGAGATAGAGGTAGAAGCAGGATGGAGAGACCCACAGAGACAGGCTTTGGGATGCCTGGATATCAGATTGGGGTTTTCAGACTTTATCTGGAATGACACCTGGCTCTGATTTTTGCACTGCTCTGTAGGAGTCTGCTGGCTCCAACACAAACCCTGAATCACCAGAGCACATTCAAGCTGAACCTTTCAATGAATCTTTATCATGCACAGGTAGATACCTGACTTACAGACATGTTTTTAGGGGGCTGGCATTATCTAGACTCACCTGATTTCCAAAACCAGATGCATTATATTCATCTTCAGTCAGGATGACATCTTTCTCAGATTTTGAAGGAGCCCAAAGGTGAAATTAGAAAATTGTTTGTTGAAATATATAAACTGTAAGTACACATGCAGAGTGAGTGAAGGACCACTGGGATGCCTTACACAGGTGGGAGTGGGGTGGGGCGGGATGCGGAGCTCTGGCAATGACAGTCTGCTGACTCTGACATTCACCTGGGGCAGGGTTTATAACAAAGACTGGGCTTGTTACAGAAATGAACGCATTTAAACAATGGGAACAATTTTTTTTCAGAGAAACTGATTCCTGGCTTGCCAGCTAACATTGTTTGAACAATATGCAAAGATGTGGATAAAGGGAAGCTAATGGATACAATTCGAGACTTTTTTTTTTTTTTTTGAGACGGAGTCTCGCTCTGTCGCCCAGGCTGGAGTGCAGTGGCGCGATCTGGGCTCACTGCAAGCTCCGCCTCCCGGGTTCCCGCCATTCTCCTGGCTCAGCCTCCCGAGTAGCTGGGACAACAGGCGCCCACAACCGTGCCCGGCTAATTTTTTGTGTTTTTAGTAGAGACGGGGGTTTCACCGTGGTCTCGATCTCCTGACCTTGTGATCCGGCCGCCTCGGCCTCCCAAAGTGGTGGGACTTTTAAAACAATTCTCGACAAGGGAAAACACCAGGCCAGGCACAGTGGCTCACGCCCATAATCCCAGCACTTTGGGAGGCCGAGGCAAGAGGATCACTTGAGCCCAGGAGTTCGAGACCAGCCTGGGCAGCATGGTGAAACTCCTTCTCTACAAAAAATTGAAAAATTAGCCAGGCATAATGGTGTGTTCCTGTAGTCTCAGCTTCTCAAAGGGCTGAGGCAGGAGAATCACTTGAGCCTGGGAAGTGGAGGCTGCACTGGGCCATGATCGTGTGACTGCATTCCAGCCTGGGCAACAGAGCAGGATCCTGTCTCAAAAAAAAACAAAAACAGTCAACACCTAACACTATAAAGTAAGTCAGGAAACTTTTTAAAATTATAGACCAGAGGTAGGTTAAAGATCATAAATGTAGCCTATATATGGAAGAGTATGAAAAGGAGAATTCCACAAAAATAGGAAATAGAATTAGCCTTTATTAGTGGCCTTATAAAGAAGGCCACTATTGTAAAGAAGAGAATGCATGGTCAATTTCCCATATTCACAGGTCAGATGAATTTCTTCTAACAATGAAAATGCCACCCAGCAAGGATGAGCCACCAGAAGTTTTCTATGAAAGTGTCATAGAATGGTACTCCACTCCACTGTGGGATAGTTGAAGAGATGCATTTTTCCCTGGTGAAAGGGAGGAGGTGCAGAGACTATAAAAATCTTTATAGAAAGATGGGCTTTCTAACACCAATTACCATGTAGCAAAGAAGACAGTACAACTAATGAGCCATGGTGCTCAATAAGCTAGGAAAATGTTGGAGTTTATCAGAGCATTAGAAACAAATCAGAAGACACATCCTTTCCCAAGTGCAAAAGCAGGAGAAGTATGGCAATTCCACACTAGAGTGGCAGCTACAGCACCTTAAATTAAGCAGAAATGCAGAGAGCGCATGGGATGATGAATGGGTGGCAGAAACAGCAGTGTGGCAAGTGACAGGAAAGTTCTTATGGGGAGGGAACCAAACTCAAGGGGATTAAGGTATTAATCCTATTAAGGTAGCCTACACGTTTAAGAAGGCCTGTTGTGATGGTCACAGTCTCAGAACACCACTGGAGGAAGCCTGAAATCACTAGAGGGCTAACTCTAGGGTGAATATTAGGAAATAGTTTCCCCCACTGTGTTGTCTTACATATGGAAATAATTTTTCCAAGGTAAAGCCTAAACTACCTAAAATCATTTTTAAAAAAAATTTTAGAGACAGGGTCTCGCTCTGTCACCCAGACTGGGGTGCAATGGTGCAGTCACGGCTCACTGCAGCCTCCACCTCCTGGGCTCAACCCACCTCAGCCTTCTGAGACTAGCTGGGACTACAGGCGCATGCCATCACACCCAGTTTATTTATTTATTTTTTAAATTATTATTACTTTTTGTAGAGACAGGGTTTTGCTTTGTTGCCCAGCCTTAAATAAATTTACTAGTAACTTAGCTCCCTATTCCTGGAGGCAGCTCTGTAATGGTTATAGGAGTCAGTCCTCTGAGGCTTATTTGAAGAAAGGGCGGTGCAGCCCTTCCACACACCTTCCCTGGATGTGTGGCCGATTCTCTGCAGGCTTTGACACCCCATGGCTGTTGCAGTACACAATTCAGTTCTGCTGAGCTCACCGCTACAATTTCGTGTATGGGACAGGATAACGTTCTCTGCAGCAAGGCAGGATTGGAGCATGGTGGCTTTGGTACACAGCGCTCTCTGCTGTTGCTGGGAGGAGCTGAAGAGAGAAATGGTCAAGTCACAAGCTGGTTGAGGGAGGACCAGATCAGGAATAAACAGACCTAATCCTGAGGTCCTAGCCTAGTTATGACATTAACTAGCTGTGTGACCTGGGACAAGTCATTTCACGTCTCTGGGCTTTGGCATCCACTTCTGTAGCTCTGGCTTTCTGGGGTTCCATCTGCCACTGGCCCATTTTGGGATGGCCTTCTGTGAGCCCAGGAGCAGGACCTGAGCGAGGAACCAAAGACAAATCTGAGCAGTCACACAAAGCTGAGAGCTAGCATCACCCCAGAAACACAAACGTCATGTCAGGTTTTCATTTGTTGCTATCAAGAAATTATTAGAAGTAAAGTGTGTTGTGTTCCCCTCCACTCCTCCTTGCCCTCCTTGTTGTCCTCCTCTCCTTGTCTTCTTCCTCCTCCTCCCCTCCCCTCCCCCTCCCTGTCCCTCCTCCTCCCCTCTCCTCTCCTCTCCCTCTCTGTCCCTCCTCTTCCTCTCCCTCCCTTCCCCCTCCCCGTCCCTTTCCTCTTCCTCTCCCTCCCACTCACTTTCCCCCTCCCTTTCCCTCCTCTTCCTCTCCCTCCTACTCCCTCTTCTCCTCCCCCCACTTCTCCTCCTCCCCTTTGTCCTCCTCTCCTCCTCCCTGCTTCTTCTTCCCCTTTTTTCTTTCTTCTTCTGGAGAGTGAAGAGTACAGTGTTAGAGGCATGAGCGTGGTCAAGGTCTTTTAGGATTTGTCATCCAAATTGAGTCATTATGTGGTCTCTGGAAATCATAAGGGAGAAGAGTGCATTTTGGGGATCATACTCTGCTTGTTTTGACTACTGACCCTAGGTCAGTAATTGACAATTTTTCTTCTATTCTTTCTTTTTTTTTTTTTTGAGACAGGGTCTTGCTCTGTCGCCCAGGCTGGGGTGCAGTGGCACGATCTCGGCTCACTGCAACATCTGCCTCTCACGTTCAAGCAATTCTCCTGCATCAGTGTCCCAAGGGGTAGTTGGATTACAAGGCATGTGCCACCATGCCTGGCTGATTTTTTGTATTTTTAATAGAGACAGGGTTTCACCATGCTGGCCAGGCTGGTCTCAAATGCCTGAGCTCAGGCAATCCACCCGCCTTGGTCCCCCAAAGTGCTGGGATTACAAGCGTGAGCCACCGCACCCAGCCAGCAATTATACCTATTAGGTAGAATTAGGGTGTGCTGAGGGGCAGCTGATCAGGGTGCAGGTCACAACAGGTTGCTGAACAAATCATCACAGGAAAGCAGGAAGTTTTGTGTGTTCAGGTGTGACTCAATGTGCAGGTGGCCTGGTGCTCAAAGTAGATCTGCCATGATATTCATGGAATGACAGGGAGCAGGTGGGGGAGCAGTGTTACAGTGTTGCAAAGCAAAGTCCTCTGGGGCATCTCCACCACATAGAAGCAATGTGACAGTGAAAACTTTCTTATTTGTAACATGAGAATAACAATGACCCGATTGTAACAGGAGTGTAATTAAGATGAATGAGGTAATAAGAAATAGAGAAAGAACATACTTTATCAACCATAAAACCCTATTTAAGGCCAGGTGTGGTGGCTCACACCTGTAATCCCAACACTTTGGGAGGCTGGGGAGGGCAGATCACCTGAGGTCAGGAGTTTGAGACCAGCCTGGCCAACATGGAGAAACCCCATCTCTACTAAAAATACAAAAAAATCAGCTGAGTGTGGTGGCACACACCAGTAACTCAGGAGGCTGAGGCAGGAGAATCACTTGAACCTTGGAGGTGGAGGTGGCTGGGAGCCAGGATCACACCACTGAACTCCAGCCTTGGCAACAGAGTGAGACTCCGCCTTAAAAAAAAAAAAAAAAAAAAAAAAAAAAAAAAATCCTGTTTAAGTGCTACTTTCTTTTATCAGTGAATTCAATTATCTTATCCCACAGAAGAGGAAACAGATGAGATGGGTCTCACTGCGTTGCCCAGGCTGGTCTTGAACTCCTGGGCTCAAGAGATTCTTCCATCTTGGCCTCCCAAAGTAATGGGATTATAGGAATGAACCA